GACTACACTACACTGGTCACGTCAGTCACGCACTCCTCTCCATCTGCTGTACCGTACGATCCGACCTTTGGCCGGTTACCACGCACGGGGGACTTCGGGCTTTCCGGGCAAGTCTGCACTTGCTGGAGCGTCGGGAGGCTCTCGGCCTTGCTGTCTCAGACCGTCAGCCTCCCCGGGGGCCGAGAGGGGGATCGTGGGGGGGCAGGTGTTCTGTGCGGAGCCGCAGCCGGCGCACCCGCCGCCTCGAGAACTCCCTCAGCTGGTACCGCTAAGGCAGGCGTTCGAGGTTTCTTTCCCTGGGCTTCCAGGGACGAGCTGTTTGGTTTTTCTCCCTTTGCTTTCATAAGGGCCTCCATTGTCCTGTGCAGGCCATTATATCAGCAAAATATCAGCAAGCCATTGATTATGATGCTTCCATGACTTTTTTTAGGGAAGCGATTTGTCAGCAAGCAATGTTAGATTTTTTTTTCAAATTGTTTTGCCAAATGGAAAGGTTTAAAGCAATGAATATTTCCTTATTACTAACTATTTGTGGAGCCATTTCTGCTAGCCGCTAGGGGCCCTGGTTAAAAAATGGAGCTTTCTTAGCCTTACCCTCAGAATTCCCATTCAGCGGGGCCTGGGGTGTGGCTCAGAAATCATCCCTTCTTATGGCTGATTCTGATACATTTTGTCATTGCCCGCACTTTGACGACACGAAGGATCAGACATCTGCCTTTTAAAGCACCGTAGGCGACCTTATGCAGAGCCACCCGCTATGGAGAAATGCAGCTGCAAAGTGTTCTTTGTTCTCTAGCTTTACCAGCATGGAAACCTTCATCAGAATCATTTTGGGTGCTTGTTAAAATGTCAGTTTCTGGGCCCCAGATCTATTAAATGGGATTCTCTAGGGGAGAAGCCCAAGGAATATGTGTATTAACAAGCTTCCCAAATAACTTTGATGCACGCAAGTTTGAGAGAGTGTTTGAGTGATTTCCGGATCTGTCTTTCCAAATACTGGGTGGATTATCCACCCAGTATTTTGGAGCACAGCAAATTCCACCTGGCCTTGTTCACCCAGCAGGAGTGGTGGGGAGAGAGGGGCCAGTAACTAAGCAGAGAAAGGTCCCGACTTCCTCCTGACTTCACGGTTTTTGATCAATGACAGCACCATCTTCCATCACCTCTGCTTGGTAACTAGTCATCTTTGACCTGTGCTTTCATTTCCAGTCACATAATTTTAAAAAATTTGTACATCCTGAATCTCTCTGGATATTTTGGTATGTCAGAGGGTCCAGTATGGGGGATTTTATGCTGTTTAAGTTCATATCTCTCATTTCTTCTCCATCCCTGTCTCCTGTCCCCTGTCCTGTGGGCTGTTTTGGTGGTTCCCTGACTGGTATTCATGGTTCTGCTTTTGGGCCGCATACGCTGCTGGGGGAAATCTTTTCCTAGGGTCATGTGAGTGTGCCATTCCCCTCTTCCTGCTTGTGCTCGAGAACTGTCATTTTCTCTGAGGTGTATCAGTCAGGGCTGTTAGAAGGTGAGGAACGAACAGAGATTTACTCTTTTACCTCAGGGAAAAGGAGATTTATAGGGCAGAATCAGCAAGAAATCAGGATCCAAGGCAACTACACTTTCTCTGGCTCAGGGGCCACATTTGTTTTCTCACTTAGGAGGAGACTTCTCTATTCATTCTGTTGGGTTCTCTACTGACTGGCTGTCTCAAAAATGTATCATTTTGCCCCTGGCCCATAATGCCTGGGCCTCTGGTTTCTAATTTCAGTTCTAGAGAGAGGAATCTGATTGGCCCAGCTTATCTTTTTGAGCAGTCACGTGTCCTCATATGCTCATCCCTGGGCATGGCTGATGGTAGAGAAAACATGGCTGTTGAGAGTAGCAGGAGCTGTGGGCAGGTGACATCCTGCAGCAGAGGCATCTTTAGTATCCCTGTTCAGTTACTCAGTTTCTCGGTTATGTATGATTTTTCTGCTTGCTCTGGGTCTGTAATAGGTTCTGGGGACATGTGAACAAAAGAGAGACAGCGCTTATCCTTGCAGAGATCACAGATCTAACCACCCTCACTTTTTACTTACACATCCCATACAAGCTGTTCATTGTTTCCTGGACATACACTACATGGTCACTCAGTCAGCACTCTCTCCATCTCTTTTCATGCTGTTTTTGGTATGGCATGTCCTTCATTCATTTCCCACCTATTGGACCCATTCTTCGAGGATCACCTCAGAGTGATACTTCCATGATATTCCAGTGGGAGGAGGGACTTCTCTTCTATTCACAGCACTTTGGTTTCTCCAGCCTTAAATTATGACTTGGATTTATCTGGGTGCTACAATATTTGCTTTTTGAATTATGTTGGGCTAGTTACTTGTGTATGAAACCTGCTTTCTCATCTCTAAAATGAGAAATAATACTGAAGAGTATTGGAAAATCAAATAAGAACGTAGATATAAAAGCATCTCAAAAAGTATACAGTGATATATAAATGCTGTTTTCGTGATGACGATCTCTTAGGTCTCCTGGTGAACAGTTAGCTTACTGAAGGCTTGATAGGAATTCACTAAAGGCTATCATGGGCCTTGCACATAATAATGCCCAGAAGATATTTGCAGGACAGATGAGAGCTTCCTTCATTCACCTGGTGTCTGTTGAGCCCCTCCTGTGTTCCTGGAAATGTGTCAGGCATTGGGGAAACAGTGGTGGCCAAAACAGACATGCTTCCTGTCTGGGATCACAGTCACTGCAACAAAGTGCAGTGTGTCTTTAAGTAAGACTGCTCTGGACGAGGAACGGGGAGGGGGAGAGGGGAGAATGGAGAAGGAAGGAGAGAAGGAGGAAGGGCGGATGCCCTAAGCCGGTCTGGGAGGGTAGTGGATGGTCTGGGAAAGCTCACTGGGGAAGTGACATTGGAATTGAGACCTCTGGGCTGTCGGTAGGTTGGGCAGAAGTGTCTGTCGGGATTGAGGGGAGAAGATCCTGGACTGTATTGGGGTGAAGGGGGAACGGCTTGAAGTTGACAGGGAATGTCTGAGATGATGGGAAAGAGGGGTGGGAGGTGGGGGCGAGGGTATTTGTTTTAAGATGGCTGAGAATGGAACCTGTTTTAAAGGATTTATTTCAGAGGGAAAGCAGGGCTATTCAAAAGTGAGCCTCTGAGGGAGGGATGGGGAGACCTGGCCTTAAGGGATACAGTCTGATTTACTGGGCACGCTCGAGTTCAGACTCTTGACTGGCCTTGTTAGAAGCCTGGCTAATGGGAGTCATTTTGTAACTGTCAGCTGGGGCAGTTTTCATCTGTTTTCATCTGTTAAATTGAGAGATGTGACTTGATCAAATTCAGTTCAGGAGACATTAATCCGTTCTTTAATATGCACAAGAAGCTGTTTTAGGTGCTTCTGAATTTGTGAAGGAAAGACTTGTGAAGTTCCTCCCATTAGGAAACTTAACAATAGAGAAGAGATGGATGGGTGGATGGGCAGAGATGACCAGAATTCAAGGTGTTAATGTTGAACGATCAGCAAACCTGCTGTAGCATTTCCCCCACGTACACAAAGTAGAGAATAGAATCGTATAGTGAACCCTCATGTACCCATCCCCCAACTCCAACCAACAATGACCAGTATTTTACCAAATTTGTTTCAGCCATTTCCCTCTTTCCCAGTCACCCCTTTCCTCCTCCAGTACTTTAAAGAACTGTGAGCCCCGTAGGGCAGAAATAGTCTTAGCTTGTCAGAGATAGCCCGAAGCACAGTGCGTTGCAAATTACAGACTTGAAACTGTCATTAGATTGCACTGTTGGTGAATTACAGCTGTGTAGAATTGCATGCATTTTCTCCAAATTATATGACAAAAATAGATCACCTTTCTTTAGTAGATTTGTTTAAAGGGTATCCTTCCAGTAGCTTAAGGCAAAGCAGGTTCATTTTAGAAGATTTTTTTTCACTATTTTATTACCATTTTCTGCTTAGTCTTAGTCTAAAGGAATTAAAGTCTTAATCTTAGTCACTATCTCTAAGTGATAACTGTTCACAGCTTTATGTACTCTGAGGTGATACGCGTGCAGTCCATATAATGAATTGGGGTAGAGAGGTAACAAGATTCGAAAAATTGAAGAATTTCAATCTTTGTTCTTTAAAAAATTTCATTTATTTAGCAGGGAGGTAATTATTTTTTTCAATGGAGGTACTGGGGATTGAACCCAGGACCTCATGCATGCTAAGTGTGTACTTTACCACTGAGCTATACCCTACCCTTGCTCAATCTTTGTGTGTGTGTGTGGTTTTTTTTTTTGACAATTGAGGTCAATGTCTGTAGCTGCTTTTTCTTAATGTGTTCATTCAGGTCTTGTGCGATATTGTAGTGAAGGAAAATACTTGAACTAAATAAGGGCTTTGTCAGACCTTTGTGTTTAAACTTCTTATTTTAAAGTAATTGCAGACTTACAGAAGACTTATAAGAATAGTACAAAGAACTCTCTTTTACGCCTTAACCAGATTCACCAAGTGTAAAATTAAAATTTAGGATGCACATAGTCTAATAATATTCCTGTTAATCCCGTAACCATTTTATTGATGAGGTACCAAGCCCTTACTTAGTTACTGAGGGTAACTAGATGAGTAAGATGTGATCTTGATTCTAGGATTTCAAAGTAAATTAATAATTGTGATACCTGATTGTCAGCGTAATACTGCAAGTTTGCGTGACA